TCAGTATGTAAACATGCCTGCCGGTTTCTTAGCGGAAGCAGCCCTAGCTTCTTTGAAAAGTCCTGGTGATATTAAAATCAATACGAGAGAAATGAAAACAGCCATTTAGTAGCAATTTATCTCTGTGTAAGCTGTAAATCCTCCATTTATCCTTGTCACCACCAACATTTGGACTAATTTATTTTCCTGAACTTCTTTTAGCGGATAGGTCCTCTGGAGGAGAAAGCGATCCATCGGAAAGGGCTGAAGTCAAATGACTTCTGCTGGTTGCTAATTTTCCATGAACATCCATGGCTGTTCTTGGCAGATCTGAAAAAGAGGTGAGATTTTTTTAAAAACCTCCTCTCCCCCCACAACCCCAAAGACTGTTACTCTACAGAATAGGGAAGATGACCTTGATGGAAATAAGCAAGAATTATTACCTAAGTAACGGGGTAGTGATGATGGTGGACATTTTTTTAAAATATGGGAAAACAAGACAACATTCAGAAGTGATTCAGGCAGACATTACCTTGATTCACTGGAGTCTAAGAAGGAGTAGATTTTACCCCTTGTTTTCCAAAGCATCAGAAAGCAATGGATGGAAGCTAATCAAGGAGAGAAGCAACTTCGAATTAATCCACTATTGACCTCACCCCATTCCTAAGAGGTCTGTAAGGGGCGTGCATAAGTGCACCATCGTGCCTCCCGTCCCTGTCCTATTGTCCCCATTTATTCATACCTATTTCCTGCAATCTTACTCATGTTTATACTGTACTTATACCTATTACCTTGTAAGCAACTGACAAATCAGATAAATAAATAAAATAAGAAACTTCCTAACAGTGAAGACAATTAACCAGTGGAACAGCTTGTCTTCAGAAGTGGTGGGAGCTACATCACTGGTGGTTTTCAGCAAGAGATTGGGCAGTTTGTCTCAAATTGTATAGGATCTCCTGTTTGAGCAGGGGGTTGGACTAGAAGACCTCCAAGGTCCCTTCCATCTCTATTCCAATTGATTGATTACTCTGAGAGTCGTAACTGACTTTTGGGGGTGGGGGTGTTTATCTGTTTCTTTAAGCCAAGGGTCTTCAAACGCGGAAAGTGTAAGGCTTGTGGACTTCAATTCCCAGGATTCCTGAGCTAATATGACTGGAGGAGGAATTCTGGGAGTTGAAGTCCACAAGTCTTAAAGCTGTCAATTTGAAGACCCCTGCTTTAAGTCATTGAACCAGCACTGTCCAAAGGTGAAGAAGGGATAGGAGGTAGCATAAATTTAGACTTGTAAGGTCTGTTGTTATAGCCAATCTCAATAAAAGTGGTTTTAACCTTCAGGTGGAGTTGATGTCCTAATATACTCTAGTCCTAACTGGTATAACTCTCTTATACGTTTGATAGCTAGGTAGAAAGACCCTTTCATACAGTTCTCCCTGCGTGGCAAATCTTCTCATCTTGAGTGTTGTGAAAAAACCCAAAAGCTAAAAAGGATTGGCCTTAGTTAATAGAATGGGAGGCCACAAGGTAATCCAAGCGTTGGAAAGCTGAAAAAAAAAAAGATGTGAGAACAGTGTTTCAATATCTAAGGGGCTGCCGCAAAGAAGAAAGGGTCAACTTATTCTCCAAAGCATTTGAAGGCAAGACAAGAAGCAATGGGTGGAAACTAATTCAGGAGAGAAGCAACCTAGAACTAAGGAGAAATTTACTGACAGTGAGAACAATTAATCAGTGGATCAGCTTGCCTCCAGGAGTTGTGAATGCTCCAAAACTGGAGGTTTTTAAGAAGAAATTGGACGATCATTTTGTCTGAAATGGTATAGGGTTTCCTACTTGAGCAAGGGGTTGGACTAGAAGATCTCCAAGGTCCTTTCCAACTCTGTTATTTTGTAAAATCCTGAAAGAAGGCAATGGCAATAGGCCTTTATTAAAGAAAAAGTATTTCTTGTGGTCAGAGACATGAAACAAAAGATACAGTAAATAATGTAAACCAGTTTGACTGGGAAGTTTGCTGAGATATGAAGTTATCAGCTTTGATCACGTGCCAGCATAAAACTGCAGGGTCAAAACATTAGTCCTGATGGGATATCTTTGTATCTCTGATCCAGGACTGCAGGAGATGCCTTTCTATATTTAGGAATTGCAAGTTGACTTCATTATCTAGCAGATCGGGTGGGGAAGGGTGAGCAAGCTGATTAGGAGCATATCCTTGGAAAGAATTGCCAGATTTAATTGGATGTCAATATCTTCAATCCAAACTCAGCATTAAATATTGCTTGTTCATACTCAAATGTGCAGAGTTGGGTTAGTGAAAATTGCTTTTTTTTTTTGGGCTTCCCAGTAGTCATCAAGTTATGACCACAATAGAGATTGGAAAATTCATTGTTAAACAGTGCAGTCATGAAATGAGGCATTACCTGACTGCACCTGATTTTATTACTCTTTTTTTTTTTTGCTATGGTCATTAAGCAAGACATTGTGTGATGGTAACTCATGATCTCCTCCTCCCTTTGTTTTTGTTTGTTGAATGCCAGTAAGTCACAAATGGCAATCCTGTGTCTGTGGGATGCTGTGTGTGTCGTAAATACATGATAGTTGCCAAGTGTTTGAATTATGATCATATGAACATGGGGAATAGAATAACAGAATAACAGAGTTGGAAGGGACCTTGGAGGTCTTCTAGTCCAACCCCCTGCTCAGGCAGGAAACCCTATATCATTTCAGACAAATGGCTGTCCAATCTCTTCTTAAAAAACCTCCTGTCAGCATTCTAGCAACCCTCCATTCCGCCCAATAACTCCGAGACAGGCATCTTCTCAAAAGTTCTGTTTTATTTGGATAGTAAACTGGCACATCTGGGGAATCCCGAATCTGAAAGTTCTGGGCTTCCTTGCAATAAGTAAAAACTACAAATCCATCCCCTGCACCCATCATCACATCACATGCCCCAATCATCATCTGTCCCGACTTGAGACTTCCTCTCACTTATGCGCAAAATAACATGACCTTGAATGAGAAAAAGAATGTTATTATGTCTAACTACATACACTCCAGAGAAATTCCCCCCTCCCACTTTCCCAGGCTCAAAATGTGGCCATGTGGGAGCATCTGGTCTCAATATGGCTTCCAAAGCTGACACCTCCAGTGACAAAGCACCCACAACTCCTGGAGGCCTGTCATTCCACTGATTAATTGTTTTTACTGTCAGGAGAAACTTAGATATGTGGAGGCTTGACTGTTTATATGCTTGTGTCTTTATCTTATGGTTTGCAATGAACATCTTGAAAACAAACAGGATCCCCTGTCTTCATTTAGCCAACACAGAGGAGACAGGGAATATTACTGCAAAATGATACAGCTACTAGGAGAAACATTGTATGACCTGATGAGCCTACAACCTCAAGTTCCGCTACAGTCATTATGCAAATCACCTGTGATTGTTATACATGACATCACATGACCGAATCCGGCTTCTCCCATTGACTTTGTATCCCAGGAGATAACCGTAAAGTGCCCAGATGACAATCATGTGACTATGAGATTCTGCGATGGTCATAAGTGTGAGAAGTGGTCATAAAGATACTTTTTCAACACTATTCAAGTTTTTTTATTTTATTTTATTTTATTTTTTATTTTACATATACATATCAGTGAGGGAACAGTGTGGCACCTGGGTATCATACATATTAGTTCAAATAGAAATAGTAATATTAATCGCATTTGTTACTTATATGGTTCTAATGGTAATACACATATTAAGTTATAGTCTTACATTCCCCAATATGGGACGTAGTGGCTCAGTAGATAAGATGCTGAGCTTGTCAATCAGAAAGGTCGGCAGTTCGGCAGTTCAAATCCCTAGCACTGCATAAGGGAGTGAGCTCCCATTACTTGTCCCAGCTTCTGCCAACCTAGCAGTTCGAAAGCATGTAAAAATGCAAGTAGAAAAATAGGGACCACTTTGGTGGGAAGGTAACAGCATTTCGTTTGCCTTTGGTGTTTAGTCATGCCAGCCACATGACCATGGAGACGTCTTCGGACAGCGCTGGCTCTTCGGCTTTGTAACGGAGATGAGCACTGCCCCCTAGAGCCGGAAACGACTAGCACATATGTGCGAGGGGAACCTTTGCCTTTATAGTCTTACACTATTTAATTATTCTACTTTTTCAATACTATTATAGTTCAAACATGTTGCTAAACAGGGCATTTTCCTCCCCAGCAAGATCTGCCTGCCAATAAAATAGAGTTGGTTACTTTGCAGTTAGCATAAAAGCTAACCCTTGAGCCTTTCTTTGATCAAGAAATAGTTGGGAGTTAACAACCTCTTCACCGTTCTTATCCAAGAGAAACCTCAATTCAGCATTTCTATTATTGCTGTTGTGTTAAGTGATGTATCAAGTTAAGGGTGGGCTGCCTTCTTCCCTTCATATGTGTCCAGCTGCAATCTAGGATTGAATATGAAGGATCTAGCAGGACTTGAGAACATGAGGAAAGAAAATAGGATTATTTCACTTGCAGGTAGTCTTTGACTTAGGACCCCAACGGAGCCCAAATTTTCTGCTGCAAAGTAAGACAACTCTTCAGTCAGTTTTGGGCCCAGTCTACCACCTTTCTTGCCATGGTCGTTAAGTGAATCATTGAAGTTTTTAAGTCAATAACAGGGTTGTTAAGTGAATCTGGCTTCCTCCTTGGCTTTGCATGTCAGAAGGTCGCAAAAGGGGATCACATGAACTCTGAGGATTGCAAAATGTAAAATCAATGAACCGGTAATTACACCAGTCGAACCCCACTCCTGGGGCAATATGCTGACTCTGTAAACCACTTAGAGAGGGCTGTAAAAGCAGTGTAAAGCAGTATTTACAGTGGTGGGATTCATCCAGTTCGCATCACTTCGGGAGAACTGGTTGCTAACTTTCTGAGCAGTTTGGTGAACTGGTTGTTGGTAGAAATCATTAGGGTAGAGAACCGGTTGTTAAATTATATGAATCCCACCACTGGATATATAAGTCCAAGTCCTAAATCCTAACCCTATAACTTTGAATCCTAAAGAATACAGGCATCCCTTGACTCACCACCATTCATTTAGTGACCATTCATAATAACAGCATTGAAAAAAGTGACTTCCATTCAATTCTTGCACTTACAACCGTCATAGCATCCCCACCGCCGCGTGATCAAAATTTGGGCATTTAGCAACCAGCGTGTATTTAGGACAGTTACAATGTCCCGGGCTCATGTGATTGCTATTTGCAACCTTCCTAGCTGGCTGTTGACACACAAAGTCAACCAGGGAAAGTGGATTTGCTTCCCTACTTCAGGATTCATTTAACAACTGCTGTCATGCCCTTGGTAGAGTCAGACTCTGAGGGAGAGGAGGAACAGCTGACAGGGAGTAGAGGTGTGGCTCCGGAGGTTGTGGAGGAGGCTGGGGAATGGTAGAGGCCGGCTGGGCAGTCAAAGGAAGAACCAGGCCCATCCCCTCTTCATGCTAGGGCATGCAGGGAGGAACGGAGAAGGAAACAACTTGGCTTACGAGAGAGGAAGTGGCCATGATCCCACTCATTGGTGGCTGCTGGGGAGAATAGTATATAAGAGAGATGGTTAAAACACAGCGTTGCCAGAAGCAAAGCGTGTTTTATTTTGGGCTGAAGTTATCTTGGTTGGCATCCTTCCAACAGACTGTGCCTTGCTATCTCCTTGAATTTGGTAATTACTTATCCTGATCCGTTGTGGAAATTTCATCATTGTAGTTTGTTTGGTTTTTTATTTCACCTCTATCTGCTCATTAAGTTCAGACTGTATTGCTTTCTTTTGAAGACTATTTTTGAGTAAGTTTTATCTCCAACGGAGAATTACTGAACAGTGGGGCCAAGTAGGAGGCATTAAAGGACATTTATTTACATTTTGGATTCTGTTACGTTTGTGGTACACTTGGGTCATCACAACTGCAGAAATACGTTTGAGAGCTGTGACATAAAAAAAATAAATCAATAAAATCCCATAAAATCAAATGAGACTCACTCAACAATTGCCTTGCTTAGCGATGAAAAATTTGATCTTAATTAAAATTTGTCTGGACAGCTCCTGGTAGGATGATCTTGGTTCCCATGAGATAGTAAGTTGTTGATGTCTGGTCTGACATTCCAAAGGTCCCTCCTCCGCACCAAAGTGTGTCAAGATGAGAAACAGAGAAAATGGCTGCAACATGCCAACCCATTTCAAAGTTGATAGGTGCTTTTTTTCAAGAGGCAACTGGACTTTCTGGTTTTTCTTTGAAGATGTTTCCCTTCTCATCCAAGAAGTTTCTTCAGCTCTGACTGGATGGTGGGGAAGAGAAGGATTTATACATAAATATATTTGTGTGTGTGTGTGTGTGTGTGTATCATATATATATGATTTATATATGTATAAATCCTTCCCTTCCCCACCATCCAGGCAGAGCTGAAGAAGCTTCTTGGATGAGAAGGGAAACATCTTCAAAGAAAAACCAGAAAGTCCACGTCTCCTGAAAAAAGCACCTTTGGGACAACCATGACCTTAATGATTGAGAATCTCCATAGACATTTATCTAACCATCTCATCCTCTGTTGTCCTCTTCTCCTTTTGGCTTCCATCTTTCCCAACATCCAAGCCTTTTCCAATGACCCCTCTCTTCTCATGAGGTGGCCAGAGTATTTGAGCTTCCATAATTAGTTAAATATTAATTAATTAATGTTTAAATATTAGTCATACTGCCTTGGTACAAAGAGAATTTTATCTTCGATCCCAAAGTTGAGAATGACTGAAATAAGAAAACAGACCAGCTGACTTTTTTAGGGTGTTGAGAGCCCAGGCAGCAGATGTTTACATCAATGGGATCACATTCATAATATGGGAAGATCCTCTCTTGAGACAATCCTTGTGTTAGCATCCTAATGTAAATTTGGCAAGACAGATATGCTGCTTGCAGAGGTGTTCTGGGGTTTTCCATCAACCCTGCTCTCTAATAGACTGAGAGTTTATACCAAGAATGGAAAACCAATAATCGGATCTGACTTCACAGGCCAATTCCAATTGGGGCTTTTGATCATTTCAGCTAAGCCCCATCTGTACTCTTTAAGCAGGATTATTGACTTCCTGTCTCAGCATCTTAGTCACCTAGTAGCCAGCCATGAGACAGAGTACCTGGGATTTATGTAAAATATGTGAAATGTCTACATATTGATTTAGTGGAAGGAAATGTTTGTTAAAATGGAAAGTGTGTATGAACACACACTTACAAGCCTGTTAATTTGTTATAGAGATTGGACATTTGACCGGAATGGTATAGGGCATCCTGCTTGAACAGGGAGTTGGACTAGAGGATATAGTACATAAAATCATACATTGCAATGTCCTACTGGTCAATGAATACTTCAGCTTAAACCATAACAATACAAGAGCACACAATAGATACAAACTCAAGGTTAATCGCATCAAACTTGATTGCAGGAAACACAACTTCAGCAACAGAGTGGTCAATGTCTGGAATACTCTAACTGACTCTGTGGTTTCTTCCCCAAACCCCAAAAACCCTAACCTTAGACTGTCAACTATTGACCTCATCCCTTTCCTAAGAGGTCTGTAGGGGGCATGCATAAGTACACCAAAGGTTCCTACTGTCCCTGTCCCATTGTTTCTTTTTATTTTTCTTATATGTATCCATGTATTCATAACTATGTTTATACTTATACCTATTATAATTGCTTGACAAAATAAAATAAATAAATAAAATAAAGAAATAAATCCAACTCTGTTATTCTTCCATGCTGAATCTGTACAGATTATAGATAATCAGAGTTGGAAGGGACCTTGTAGGTCATCTAGTACATTTCCCCCACCCAAGCGGAAGACCCTACACCATTTCTGACAAATGGCAGTCCAATCTCTTCTTGAAAGCCTCCAGTGATGAAGCTTCCACAACTTCCGAGGGCAACTTCTGTTCCATGGGTTGATTGTTCTCACTGTCAGAAAGTTTCTCTTATCTCCAGGTTAAATCTCTCCTTGTTCAGTTTCCATCCATTATTCCTTGTCTGGCCTACAGGCACTTTAGAAAATAGCTTGACCCCTTCCTCCCTGTGGCAGCCCCTCAAATATTGGAACACTGCTATCATGTCTCCCCTGGTCTTGCTCTTCTCTAGACTAGCCATCCCCAGTTCCTGTAATCTTGAGCCACCTGTCATGGGTCTAAATTAAAAAAAGTTCAGTAGGGATTTCAAAGCTAGAAGGCAAGATATCCAGCACCCAAGAGGATGTTCCTTAGCAAGTGGTGAGATGAAGCAATTGTACAATGAAAAGACTCACATAACTGGAAAGGTTCTTTAGATCCAGCAAACTAAGAGAATGATAAAGTGTTGAGTCTAATTTCCAAAGAATTATAGCTTTCCTTCATTGGATTTATCAATTCAGTAAAATTTTGGCCCAACTGTACATCCTGGCCAAAGCAAAAAGAGAGAGGTTTCTAAATGGTTGTCTACATTTTCATTTGCTCACCAATCATCCATCTCTCACTGATCCCACATACCCTGCTTGGAATATATCAAGGCTTTCTTTTCTGAAAACAGACTTCTAAAAAAACAACAACCCCCATCTATAGTGGCTCCATATAAGCTTCATGATAGAGGAACATTTTATGTGTTTCTATCAGCTTGTGTGTTTCTCTCCCTCCCTTTTGTGGGGCTAATCCATTTGTCTGCTCAAGCTGTGGCCCTGTCAAAATTCTCCCCCACAGGCTTTTTTTCACAAACAAATCCTTTGTTGGTTTTCTCCATTCACTCGCTGCAGTCTGGGATGGAGCATAAACAAGTATAAAAAGGGGAGAATGAATGCCATCTGTTGTTCTTCATTAAGCTGGTGTAGCAGAGAACAATTTGGAATTGATACTCACAAAGGTGCATTCCCCCCTCCCCAAAGGACATCACAACAGAGCTCATTTTGTCATTTGCTGGATCAGATATTCAGCCAAACAATGCTGGGAAGACCAAATATCAGTGCATTTTATAGTTCATCCTTCTGAAGCAAATCTTCAGTTTGCATGCCCAGACCTTAATTTATCCAGTGCTCTGAGTCTGCATGACATCCTGAGCAATAAAGAAATGATGTAGGTTGGGATGCATAACATGGTAGGCTAAAATATGATATCTAATTTGTAATTCAAGGAGTTGAGCAAACAGACCTAAGCTATAAAACAGCAGTAGAGAACTTCCTGGCGTTGTTGAATTAAAACTCAGCAGGAAGAGTTAGTGTGGCTACTGGCTGGTTACTGGCAGATTGGATGGGAGTTGTAGTAACTGGTATTTGGCATAATGTGTTTGGTCTTAGTCTTTAGTTGATTGATATCCTGATAATATAAAAATGATGCTTTGATGCATCTAATGTCATGCCCCTTGGATGTCATAATTGAGTCACTACGTCATAATGAGAGTTTTGCAGCGATAATTCAGCGCCAGAAAAATAAACACAGATGGCTGAAGCTTCATTTAACATCTTTATAAACATAAGTAGATTTTACAAACCAGTTGTAGATTTTTCCAACATGCAGCAAACTCAAACAGAAACATGTTGCAAGTTCAGAGCAGAGCTCCAGTCTTCAGCAAGCAAGCAAGTTAGTTTCATCTTCAATAGACAGACTCAGCGCTCAACATAGCTGCAGAGTTGCAGAGCTTAATATAGAGCCACTCCTAGGCTACTTTTAGTTTCAATTTCCAGCCTAGGCTACTTCTAGTTTCAGTTTCCAAAACAGTCCTCATTGGCTGACTTGGTTGCTATGCCTATTCATTGGTTGATCTTGTTACCAAGCTCTATTCCAGTTCATGAATATACTCTGACACATCATGTCTAGTTTTTCATGACCCCATGGACCACAGCATATCAGTTGCCCCTTTCCTAATTGTCTCCTGAAGTTTGCCCAAATTCATGTTCATTGTGTAGATGATCTTATCTAACCATCTTATCTTCTGCCCTCCCCTTCTCCTTTTGCCTTCCATCTTTCCCAACATCAGTGTCTTCTCATTTAATGGCCAAGGTATTTGAGCTTCAGCTTCAGTATCTGTCCTTCCAAAGAACAAAGTTGAGTTCCTTTAGATTGACTGATTTGATCTCCTTGCTTACATGGATCTCCATGATTGTAGATCTCAAATAGCTCCAGAGCGATGCTGAGAGACTATGGCAAGATGCCATGAATCAAGAATTTGCCAGCCCACCAAATCCAAATTTGCTATGGAATCGAGATAAGAAACGGTCAACCTCTGAGTCTAACCTGGCCAACAGAGTTATGGTCTTTGTTTGGACCATAACATCTCAACTAAGTCTTCTCTTTTAAAGCCAGTTCCTGACCTGGTGGTTGGCATTTTTTTTATCATGGATAAAAACAGTTCTCTGAAAGTCAGCTTTTTGTATAGTGACATTAAAAGCTACCAATCTACATTGTGCTATCAAAATTCCCTGGCAAACCATCAAATAACATTGATTTAATTTGCTACTGATTCTAGGGAAAACAATATGTGATGATGGTGTAGGATACTTCAAACAGACTTAACACACTTAGTTTAAGTCATTCTTAGATCTTCCTAAATGTTGAATTCCATCTCCTAAAGTGATATCCAGCTCCTTCTAATGCTAGTTGCTCTATCACTATATTATCCACTGAGTTTGGTTCAGAGGAACGTCAACGATGAAAAAAATTGACCTCTCATGGGTGTTAGACAGCAACCTATGTTTCTACTTTAACAATAAAGATGTACCATATTTTTCAGACTATAACAATATAATTTTTTACTAGCTAAGTTTGATTAGACACACAAGGAATTTGTCTTTGGTGCATATGCTCTCAGTGTATATAAAGGAAAATAAATGCATTCATCAAGAATCATAAGATATAACACTTAGTGATAGTCATAGGTTATTAATAAGCAATCAAATCATACTGGGAAACAAATAAAACAATATAAATTGTAGAGATACAAGCAACAAGGTTATAGTCATAAGTGGGAAGAGATAGGTAATAGTAAGTGTTATTATAATCTAGTGGTAGAGGAATAATAGTAATACAGTCTTAGTAAATAAGTTGACAGTGTTGTGGGAATTAGTTGTTTAGCAGAGTGATGGCATTCGGGGAAAAACTGTCCTTGTGTCTAGTTGTTCTGGTGTGCAGTGCCCTATAGTGTCATTTTGAGGGTAGAAGTTGAAACAATTCAATGCAGGCAAGCCTGCAGAGAAGAGGTGGTATTCAGTAGGTTCTGACCAGTTCTGGAGAACCAGTAGCGGAAATTCTGAGTAGTTTGGAGAACCGGCAAGTACTACCTCTCACCGGAAATTTTATAGTATCCTTCCCCTGCTATGTCCACCAAGCCTCACCCACAGAATCGGTAGTAAAAAAAAATTGAATCCCACCACTGCTGCAGAGTGCTTCTGGATGCCAGGGAGAGCAAAAACGGGATGCGCAGAGGCCAAAAACTATTTTTAAAATTGTTTTCCTTTTCTAAACCTAGGTGCATCTTATGGTCCAAAAAATATGGCATATGTACCTCCTAAAGAATTTGTTCAGTCTGGATATGGGGCACCCAATGCGGATTCTCAGAGCAGGGCCCAATCTTTACACATTATAGGTGATCTTGGATGGACTTATGGCCATTCATTTAGCAATGGTTTGAAGTTACAATGGCACTAGAAAACAAATGATGTACAAATGATTCTTGCATTTATGACCATTGCAGTATCTGTGCAGTCACATGATTAAAATGCAGATGTTCTTCAGCTGGCATTTATCATGTAATCACCATTTGTGATCTTCTTGGATGGCTTCCAACAAGCAGAGTCAACGGGAAACCGCATGATTCACTTAATGACTATGGCAAATAAGGTTGTAAAATCAGGGGCATTCGCATGATGCTTTGGTTAATGACTGCTGTCCTAAACAACACATCTTCCAGTCCTTGTTGTGGTCATAAATCAAGGACTACCTGTATTTAAATCCATGCCATGTTCTTCACATCATAATAAAATACGTTGGTTTATTGATTGGATCTGAAATCTATAAAAAATACCAGTATTAAGTGGCCATTACTGGACTGTAGAAACAATAACAAGACAGTGCTCTGTATTTTTGCTTTGCAATAAATAACACCACAGGGAGTCCTCATGTCACGTGTCATGCCCCTGTTGGGGTCTGATTCTGAGGAAGAGGAGGAACAGCTGACAGGGAGTGGAAGTGTGGCTCTGGAGGTTGTGGAGGAAACTGGGGAAGGGCACAGGCCAGCTGGGCAGTCAGAGGAAGATCCAGGCCCATCCTCTCTACATCCTAGGGCATGCAGGAAGGAACCAAGGGAGCAACATGAGTTGCATGTTTTACAGGGGAGGAAAGGGCCCTGATCCCTTCATTGGCTGCAGCTGGGAAGACTGTTTAAAAGGACAAACTGTGCATGGCCCAGTACTGGAAACAAAACGTGTATTATTCTTTCTGAGCTTATCTGTATTTTGGCTTCCTCCCAACTGTGGTGGTTGCATTATCTGGTAGAAGTCTGCAATTAATCATCCTTGCCTGCCATAGTAATTCCTTCGGTGTGGTTTGTGTTTGGTTTTTTTTTAATTTCGAATTAACTTTAATTTGGATGCAGACTGCATTTACTCCCTCTGTAAACTATTTTTCTTAAGAGTTTGATTTCCAGCCGAGGATAATTGGACATTGGGGCCAAGTTGGAGGCATTAAAGGAACTTTATTCTATTTTTGTGACTTGGTTATTTTTGTGTCGTGCCCTGGGTCATCACATCAGGTGTAGCTCCATTCAAAATCCAAGAAAGAGAACCTTAGACTCCACTGTTATAGAGAAAAGGACTTTTAGTGAATTTGAAGTGGTAGCATCAAAAGAAATACAAAATTTGAGGCAACAGGCGTGAAAATTACATATAGAAAGTTATCCCATGTCCCCACCCCCTATAGTTCAAACTGGCCATCCAATCTGAGATGTGCATAATGTCATGTGGGTGCATTTTCAGGTGGTGTTTCACACACCTGGTATGCCAAGATGGTTGACCTTGCCCTAGAGATATAAGAGGCTACATAAGCAAGTAAGCATACTCAAGAAAGCACCCCAACTGTTACAATTCACCAACTTTTACAATTCATCCTCCAGCATCCTTCCCCCCATGAGGCCCAATTATTCTTCCCTCCCCCATTTCTATGGCATCCGGAAAGAGACAAGCAGAAGAAGGATTCTGGAGACTGACACCTCAACTTACAACAGTTCATTTGGTGTCCGTTCAAAGTTGCAATGGCACTGAAAAAAGTGACTTATGATCTTTTCTCACACTTGAGAAGAGTGCAGCATCTCCCTGGCCATGTGATCAAAATTCACACACTTGGTGACCGACTCATGTTTATGATAGTTGCAGTGTTCCGGGGCCTTTTGACAAGCAAATTCAACGGGGAAGCCAGATTCCCTTAACAACCATATCACTCAGTTAACAACCGAAGTGATTCAGCTGTGGCAAGAAGAGTCCTAAAATGGGACAAAACTCACTTAACAACTGTCTCATTTAGCAACAGAAATTTGGGGCCCAATTGTGGTCGTAAGCCAAGGACTACCTGTACTGCATTTAGTGAGGCACACTCATAAGGTCAACGTACATTGGATTGCAGGCTAAACAGGGATAAGCTTTTTCCTTGATTTTTTTTTAAAGTAAGCTACCTTAGAATCAATTACGTTCTGGCCCTTTCAATAATCCGCTTCTCTCCTTCTTCATGGCAGTTATTGCAATTATTGTTTTGTTAATAGCAACATTGTCTAAAATTGGGTCTACTGGGAAAAGGGAAAAAAATACAATGAATGAAAAAAAAAAACCGCTTGTTCAAGGCCTTAAAGGCTTTTAAAAACCTACAGAAAATTTTGCAAAATCAATGGAAAACATCAAAGGGAAGAACACAGGCAGCCTGGGTAGCTATTATGTACCAGAGGAATTTGCATTTTTTTAAAAATCGAATTCATGTCATTTTCTACCTTTCAGCATACGAAGATCTCCCAAAATGATGAAAATAAACAGTTACGGTGAGGTGCAGAGTTCAGGATCTCAACCAGAGTAGAATTATTCCTGAATTTAGATAGTCCTTACCTGGTCCAGGTAATCCTCGACTAATGACGATAATTGAGCCCAAAATTTCTGTCGCTGTGTGAGACATTTGTTAAGCGAGTTCTCCCCAGTTTATGACCTTTCTTTGCCACAGTTGTTAAGTAAATCACTCCAGAGGTTTCAGTGCTGCTGAAACTTCGAATGGTCACTAAATGAACTTTGTAAATTGAGGACTACCTGTATAGTTTCATCATTTTTCTTTAGCTTTCGCTCCTATTCCATTCCTGCTGTAGAGCTATCAGTAATTTTTCACAGTTCTTCAGCTGGAAAAATCTCCCCAGGTGGTTTACCATTTAGTGAAAATCAATAAAAGATCCTGCTTTCTTCATAGAGTAAAAGCCACAGAAAAGGGAAAGAAGACTAAAACAAGCAACAACAGAGAAGCAGTTGCTTTGTGACCAATAAAGGCAAATGCACATGCG